TTTTTTTATTATTTATGTGCTGCCATGCTAAATCTTGCTAAGCATTCAAAAGAGAGAATGTTTGCACCAGTTATTTATATTCTAAAATCGTCTTTTGAGTATGTTCCACTATTCATAATTCTACAAAAGTTTAACAGTCTATAGCCAAGACTGTTTGGATAATAAAAAGCAAAGAAAAAAATTCACTCCCAAGTGCCCACGAACCTGCAACTCTATCTTAAGGGACCAATGTCCCAAACCAAGCATTTTTTGTGCAAAATTTGTAACGTTTACTAGTATTCTGGCTAACATTACATCCCCTCTTAAACCAGAAATTGCTGAAAATAAGTATTAAAGCAATACTACATTTATTTACAACCTAGTGAAGACACACAATACCATTTTCTACAGTATTTTAATATTTGACATTTTACATTACAGAAACTCACATTTGAATAAGATTGGAATGTATATATAATCTTTATAGAAATTAAAACAAACCTCACAAAGTCCACGCCACAGTTATATAAGCATAAGTAAAACGTATAAGTCGAATGTTCCTTTTTTATATTTGTGTGAATGTGTGTAAGTATATCCACATAAGACATGTATGCGATGATTACGCACCTATTGTCACACTGTCTAGTGTGTTGTACAATAAATGATAGAAAGGTACACTAGCTTTCTTTGTATTGTATTCATATTGTCATAAATACTCAATTGTTATCTGTAACACACAGGAGTGTTAACAACAAAAATATAAAATGAGAGTAATATACTAGTAATACCTTCATATATTTGTTATAGAAAAATACATTTCAGCTTATATAGGAATGTAGAAATCCAATCAGGTTACGAGTTGCGTCTCTATCACGCCGAAGTAAATTGAGCTGAAAACGCAAATACCATCAAATTTAAAAGGTTCGACGACATCAAAATAATAGGTTGATTATATAGCCTGGTTCCCAATTCGCTAAGTAGGGAAATCCTTTAAAAAAAACGCTTCAGTGTTGAGTGCTCATCCGTGTCACACTGGATAATGTACCTACACTGTAATATTCACAAAAATATTATAATTCCTTAGCTTTAATATACACAGCATATATTTTTGTATGTCTTTTATTTATCAGATTTTGACCGCCACTCCCTCTGTCCAGTTTCAAATATTTTTTTTTAGATAATGCTTTCAGCAATGTAAATATTCTTAGTGTAAACTTGTTTCTGTGCCTGGACAAGAATTTTCTTTCTCTGTCGTTTTTTGCATCTGAGTGAGGAGATGAATCGTCGTCGAAAACTTTCATTCAAAAAAGCGTAAATAAAAGGGTTGATACAGCTATCACAGAAAGCCACCAATTGAACAATTGCTAACATTAGCCGGTTTGTCTCATTATCTGGAAGGGGTGGGAATTCTCTGATAACGCTGACAATATGGAATGGGGCCCAGCATACAGCAAAAAGTACCACCACTAATATAAGCATCAAGGTGGCTCGTCGCTTTCTTCTCATCGAGGCAGCTAGATATTCAGGCAGAATCTGCGAAGGTCCAACAGCATTTCTCGCCCAAAGTCTATGTCCAATTCGGGAATAAAGCCCAATCATGACCCCTATTTGTAAAATGTAAAATGTCCCAACAATGAAAAATGTGAACATCTTCTTCTGTTGTTGGTTGGGCCACACCTCTGTACATATTGTGTACTCCCGGTCCCAGATCACGTCCGTGATTACATTTGTCTGTAAAACAAATAACTGCGGTGACATAGCTATCATAGCAACAACCCAAATGAATGCTGCCATGAGTATAGCGCGACCTGATGTCATTTTCACTTTGTTCTGCAGGGGGAAGCACACGGCGTAGTAACGATTGATGGCAATACAAGTAAGTGTAAGTATATTGGATGTGACGGAGACTGTCGTTATATAAGGAAGTATCTTACACATCACTGTTCCTAGGACCCATTCTGCGGTGATAGCCTCGATAAACGTGAAGGGAATACAGAACACTGCGATCATAAAGTTTGAAATAGCTAAAGATACTATGAACACGTTTGTCACAGTGTGCATGGTTTTATTTGATACAACGGCCATGATCACCAAAGTGTTGCCAATGACAGCGAGCAAAAACACTAACGAATAGAAAATTCCCAGTGCTATCTTGGAATACGGAGAAAGTTCGTGTAGGACAGTCGGAAATTCCAGTTCGAAGTGGTCGACGAAATCCCTTATACTGGTGAGATTAAGCTCGGCTAACAGTTTGTGAATGAGCGTTAGGTTAAATCCGAACTGCCCAGCAAAAACGTCATCGTACTCGTCATTCTCCATTTTATGAACCGGAGTAAATCTTCTGCAATATAGACGCTGTCAGTGATCTGTGTTTTTCTCCTTGAAGTAACACGGTCTAATTCAAATACGATTTGATATCCCCTAGATGATTATCTGTGACACTTAGTCAATATATTTTGGCGTCAGTTTTATTGTGAGGATGCACTTTAAGAGATAGCAGTTAATTACAGTCGTCGCTTTGAACAGTGTACATCGCTCTAATGAGTCAATATACAGCAATATCGGGACAAGGTCGTTGCTCATAAAATACTTGTCTTGAGAACGATGATGTCTTCATATGTCTGCAATACAAGAAAAAAAACATGGTTGAAGGTGTATGAATAAGCTCGTCACTGACAAGTACAAATCATGCATACGTAGTAACAGAAAAGTGGCAATAAAAACAAAACAAGAATATACTATGACGTAATTTTACACGGGAGAATTAAATATAGAAACTTAATATTCATCCGACAATTTGGCATTGGACACATGCAGTGTACTGTCACCTAGATTGAATGTATATTATAAATTGCTGAATCGATCCGATGTGTATTCTCTGATGGTTTACAAAGTGTCCGGTACCATGTGTCGGATAACAGCTAAGTAGCGTGGAGGCAAATAACGTCCAACAAGTCAGATCCTGTAATCCTAGAATACAGCTGTGTCTCGACGTTGTGCATTCAAGCAAAGCTTCCTTTACGTCATTTAACATGCACATCCAACAACGTCTTATTATTTCCATGATAAAAATGTTAGACAGAAAGCAATTACTCACACCTGAACTACAGTCAGACATGCGGTTAATGATGTATTTGTGGAAGTCCCATGGACTACATGTGTGATGAATATACATGCATTTGTAAACTATCGACGCTTTATTTATATATTAAGGGTTGTGTTTATTTTCATTGATTGTACAATGTTTTATGTTTCGTTTCCTTCTATTTAGTAGCAATGCAGACAATATGTCCCCGCCCCAATATTTTTCTGCGATGTCCTGCACGACAATTATTATATTAATAATACAATATTTTGTAAATTAATTTATATGATTACTAAATGCGCATAATTACCTCTCCATGATATACATTAGACGACTCACAAATAAGCCATATGCAATAAGCAGAACACGAGAGATATGATTGAGAAAATAATATTAGTGTTCAATCGAAAAATTGTAATGCGTGCATACATCATGTTTTTGATTGTCTCTATAATACTTTGCCTTGGGCTAAGGGATTACTGCCATGATATATATGGACTACTATGACGTATTCTTGGAAGCACTGGTACTATATAGCTGGTTAAAATGGCACTACGTATCGTGAAGGCCTTCCTGGTATTCTGGGTATTATGCCATTGCAATAAATTCCCTTAATACCACGGCTTAATACATGATTGAGAGATGGAAATTGTGATGATTGTCTGTTTACCCGAAGGAGGATCAATGGGATGATTAGTGTCCGTTATGATATAAATCAGAGCGTTTCACTCAGTCAGTGGTGCGAGGTTACAATACTCTCTAATTCGAAACCTACAGGTGGTCGATAAATATGTATATTAACTTAGACAAATTGTAAAATATATGCTACATACCATTCAATATGTAGATGATATGCCATGAGTTAACCTGCACTATCAGATTTATTAAACAAGTGTAATAATTTTCATTTGCTCAAAACAAAGTGAGAGTTTACTAAAATCAAGTTTAATAATTATCTATATTATCTATACTGTGTCATACAAGTTCATGCAATCTGATTGGACCATACATGGCTGTCATCGCTTCGACAGGCAACACATCGTGATATTGTTTTGACAATCAATAGTTATTATTTAATTTATTTTTAGATTACATAATGTTGAATGGAAGCGTCGGCATAACAACGTGAGATGATTTCTATATATTTCCCTGTGGTATTTGATGTATTATTTAACCCATTGTAACCATTAGTAACGTTACACGCTGGCACGAGTGCAATTCAAATATTGTGTGTGTTAAAGTGACAGTTCTATAATATCTATCTAACGTACATTTCAACCGATAATTCTCATCACCTACATTTATACAGGAGGAAATTTTCATTTAATATAGTATAATTATAATAAGTTTTGCATTTATATTTCAAAACTAATGGGCGTCGTCTTCTTTACATACAATACAATATATTATAAGATCACATATCAAGTGATTACGGGAACACACACTATGAATGAAAATGCATCTTTCATTGTGATTTGCACATGCTATATCCAGCTGTATACAGATTACAATAAATGTATGTTTCTGATCACGGGTACGGTAGCACAGTCAATAATTACCTAATTCATGAGATGCTAACTTGACCACCGATCACACTATAACAAATGACTTACAAGGTGGGTTTAGCTATGACCTCTAAAGTCGAAAATTGTCTGTAACATATGATAGTCGGATAAAGCAATGTAAGCTCGTGACTCATATATTATTATATTATAGCTGACTATGACTGTATTAAGCAAGGATTATACATCCGCCATCACGACATACGCGTGTTTAATGATACCTGTATTTTACATATACAAAACCAAATCAGAACGTGCTTCCACCGATAAAGACATGGTGGTAAATAATAGAACACACAGGCAGTCAGAATTTATATTGTGTGTATTACACACTTTTATAGAATGAAAGTGTTCAGACAATATAAACATTATTCTGTACTATGTTGTATAGTTATATTGGTGCTATGTATGTATTTAATATAGTTGAATTAATTTGTAATATAGTTGCGATGTAAACTGAATTAAAAGGCGTTGTTTATAGGGTTGGGTTTTAATTGGAGTTTAATTAAACTCAATTACAATGCAAATCAACGTAGAATTGCGTTTTATATCCCGTGACTGAACATAGAAATGTTTGCGAAGCTTAGGTTTAGTAAAGAGGGAAGGTATGGTACAATTATATTAATATTAATATTAATATAAACTGTACCATACCTTAATTAACTATTAATATAAATTATGTTTTCCGAGGATTATGAAAAAGGTCCTTGAAAGGTGTGTATGTGTGTATTTTCAATCTCGTTTTCCATTGTATACTACACAAAATCCAAAAATATCGTAAACAGATCTTGTCTCAAGCACTTAGTTTCATAAATAATGCACTCATCAGCTCAGTGTGTTTTGGTTTCATTCTTTCTGTATAGTTTCTTAGATAGATTTTTGTAGATGTTCGTAGATGTTTGACGGCATGGTGAAATAATCTAGATTCGGGTTGTCAACAATGGCAACTGGCTTCGGGATAGATCGTTTCTATATCTTATCACTATTCTATGGTTTCCTCACACGTAACCAGATTTCACACTTTTTCAAAGTGCTTTCATGTTCATCTAGTCTAAGGTTGTGATATTCAGTAGTATTAAATCTAATTCATAATGGTCGTGTTTAGGAAAAAAACCAAGATCATGGATAGGTATAATGTGAATCTTGGAAAATTGGGGATGTCGAAAGCTCTTGTACTTGATTATCACTAGGAAGACGACTACATAAATTAAACCTTTGGGTTACTACTTAAGAATATGTTTAATTCATACATAGAGTGTACCGACTAATGGGATTACCTACCATATTTGATACAGTAAAACAGAAAAGCCACGTGCCGTAGAATAACAATTTCCACTCACTGGGATTGTACTATGATCGAATCCTATATAGTTTTCGAGGTGAAGCTCGTGTTCACTATGATGAAATTGTTTTTGCATATCTGTTGACCGACTTATTCAGTTGATTACTAGCGAATTTCTATGTAATGTCTGTCATCGTTTAGGCAGGCGAGGTCCTGGACGGAACTTGGCTCAGTGATTTGGAACTAATTACGAGATAACCATCGCTATTCTGACTACTATTTCTGACAGTTGGTATTCGTAGTTATTAATGTAGTGAACGATTAATCAAAAGATATGACGTATTCAGTACGCCCTAGAGTCTTTTTTACTGCTTTGTAATTGGTGAAATTTGAAAATGAATAAAGAGAGTTTGAGTTGGTCTTGGCGAGTAAACCACGATAGACGCAGTCCAGTCCTGGAGGGTCTTGGGGCGAGCCTTGAAGCAGTCCAGTCTTGGGCTAGTCTTGGTTCAGCCTTGCGATAGTCTTGGGGATTTTTCCCCAGGGCGCTGTGTCTTATAGAGTGCTCGACTGATCGACTAAGACGAGAGTGAAAAGTATTTCGTTGTGTGCGTCTTACTTTCCCGATCCCGTACCTCAAGGGGACGTGATAGAGAGACGAGACGAGTTGTTTCCTGGCACGTGTCGAGAACCCCAGAGAAAAGATTTTCCCCGTGATACGTGGTGGAGAATCCGGGCATTCAGTATGCCACCGATGTACAACGCTGAAGAGATGAAGACTTCGGAACCCCTTATAAAGGACGAGTATGGATAGGACAGTATAATCAAGAATTGAGCGACATTAAAGACAAGAAGATGATAAAGAACGACCCGGACTAACGCGATGACAAGAGGAGACGCTTATAGACTTTGATTAGAACTTTAGCTATCTGTGTATTGCTTAGAGAACTGCTCGCTGGACACTGTAACTGACACTGTGTAACTCAAGACATTGAACTCTTTTCAGAATCACAACACTATTGTTCAGTAATGTAATGTATTGCTTGCTTTTCCTATCGTTTTTTCTTACCGTTTTTTGTGTGATATCGAATTGTATGTTATGTAAGCGCCCAGATCTTTGTTTTGAAATGATATTTAGTGACGTTCGAGGTCCTTTATAATGATTTAAGCGCGCGTCAGTGGACAAGTATTTGCAACACAGTGTTATGAGTTTTGTGAAGTTTTATGAAGTTTTAATGAGTTTATGAATACGGAATATAATGGGAGGAATGATGCCCCACGTGTTTTAAGAGTTTTGAGATTTGTCAATGTACAGAGATATCGACGTTTTAAAAGTTGTTTTTGTTTACGTGTTGTTTCCGCCATACTTCTGACGCTTTTTGAGTTGAGA